ATTCATTATTATTCCTACTTCCTTTTGAACGACGATCCCCGGAATTTCCGGGTATCGAAGTTCAAAAATCCCCGGAATTCCGGGGTTTCCCCGGAGCACAAACACCCCTGCGAATCTGAAACTAGATGGAATGTCAGAGCAAAAGCAGTTAGTGTTACTGTTGTTACTGTCGATAGGCTGGAAGAATAAGTAGAAATATTAGAAAAAATAGCAGAGGTCAGTTCTACGACAAGTGACACCAGAAATGAAGCTACAATTTTACTGCACAATACACTGAATTTTAATTTCATAACTTAAGTCCATTTTTAGCATGAACACTAATCGTGTGCAGCTCAGATTACAAGATCCTAAAATGAATTTTAGAGGAGCGTTGCATGATCTTGAATCACTAGCGAATGAACCTGCAGAAATTAGAGACTAGATTCCTGAAGAGGTAATAGAAAAAGCTAAATCTCTTTGCGAAAAATGGAGTAATGAATGATGGACAATTCGTGTTAGAAGACGCCGAAAAATGCCCGGAGAATTGGCTAGAGATGTTGGCCTTTCCGCAGAAAGTGAAATGTTTCCTATTATGAAAAGCATTCCTGATCATCTGCAGCATGAAATAAGTACACGATTTACATGACTAATTGATCTTAATTCCAAATTTGGATATTTATTGGACGTTGAAAATTTATTAAACAAAGATAATGTTGATAACGACCTTGAAAAGAATTGCAAAAACTTGAGTGAATTTTATAATACAGATTTTAATGAAACAGAACTCTATGTGGAAAATGTGACTGCAAGATGTGATTCTGCAAAAAAAAAAAAAAAAAAAAAAAAAAAAAAAAATTGAACCTAAAACTCCATTAGAGCTTTTTTCCTTTATACAACCGCCGCCCAAACCGGTATAGTACTGAGAGGAAACTACATTGATAGCGAACACCCCAGATTCGAATTCCGGAGAGCGTAATGGCAAACCGCACATTGAGTTGCTCAATGTTAACGAATTTCGCTTACTGCGCATGCTCAGTGGTGTACCGTTGGCGTGGGAGGAAATACTGGCGACTAAGGGGGGGGGCGCGAACATAGCAACTCTATACAAGCCTGTTCGTGATGTAAGTCTTATCGACTACTTACAATTGAAAAAAAGCTACGGAAATTTTTTTGTGCTTATTGCATTTCCTTCTGTTTCATTGTATTTTGGTTTATTTTGTTCATAAACATTACGCTTAATATCAGTTTATAATAATTTCTTTGAATTTAATTCAATAATTTAAACTGGATTTATTCCTTAATTTTTTTAAGTATGTACGAATGAAACGTATGGCAAATACTCGATTGTTTTTATTCTTCAGAAGTATAATTAATGAACATTCAGCTAAAATATCTTATAATGTTTCCAGTTTTGTAATCCTTCTTAAATTAATTTGCGTAGATTACAATCGATACTTATACTCTATGTAATAAAGTAACTTACAACCTAACAAATTTTAAAACCCCGAACTGCTTACGTCCAGATAACAGAATATCAACCTTATACCGTATTTATCTTCTTTTCAAATTGCGCCAAATTCTCTGCTGGGAATGCGCAGTATGCGAAATTCGTTTAACATTGTTCAAATGAATGTGCGGTCTGCCATTACGCTTCCGGAGAAGGCACGTATGTTTGTAAATGTATACTGTCTGTGCGACATGGTAGCACTCTAAATATGCGGGGAACCGAAAGCAAAGGACATCTATGTAAAGAAGGAAAGGCTCCATAGACGTAATGTAAATCAGTTTGTCTTCTACGCCGCTGGGGAAAAGGGGAAATTCGCCAAGGGATTTGGCGACGGAACCTATTGGCAAGAATTTCCCCCTCCGTGATGTACTGGACCTGGCCGACATTTTCTTTGCCTCCTCCTTCTTTTCTTCCTCCTCGACGTTTAAAGGAATTGAGGAACACGGGTTAAGACAACACCCCCCCCCCCCCCCCCAGGGAGTGCTGGTTACGATGAACAAGAAAATTAGGTGAAGTTTCACTTTCACTGGCTGTTGAACTTGCATTATCTATATCGCAGTTTGATGTCTGATTTTATATCCTTCAATATGGAGGAAAAAATAATGGAGTCACACAGCTTTAAACTCTTGATAAAAGTGACCGTCGAACCTATTCGAACTTCGACATCGGCTTCGAACTTTGGCGTTTTTTAACGACAGATATTTCACGCATACGCAGCTGTTTCCCTTTTCGTTCAAAGGGAGCCCACTCCTGCTGCTGCAAAGTTTTCCTTCTTAACAATACATATTCTTTGCTTGAGAATTGGACTTCAGATATTTCTTGCTATTTTAGTACCAACTGCTAGCTGTGAACGCTCGTTCAGCAAATTAAAGTTAATTTTGGCGTATCTACGATCAACGATGGGACAAGATCACCTAAGTGACCTAGCATTTTCAAATATGGAAAGAGAACAATTTGAAATAATCGACTTTGATAGTAATCATCAAAGGTAAGAAAAATGTAAACATAGTAGTTAATTGTATTAATGTATTATATTATTACTAATAAACATATCTACTTATATGTAAGGCAAACTTTTTCACTGTTTAAAAACTATATTTTTTTAAAAAATTATATAAATATGCAAAATATGTACTATCTTTTTAACTAATTCTAGATGAACGTATGTCTGATTTTTCCATTGACACAGACACATTTCCGAAGCCAACCCTAGGTTTTTTTTTTTTTTTTTTTTTTTTTTTGGGAGGGGGTCTCAGATTTAAAGCCTGAGTCTGTTATACCAAAAAAATGTATAGCATTTTCTAGAAGTGTAGTTAGGTAATACATATTGTAATATATTTGTTAATGCAGAAGTGATCTGGCAACCACGATGAGAGAAAACAGCAACGTGGTTAGCTAGCGGCCATTATGGTGTTTTTGATTGCGTGCGGAGAGGTGCACGTATGCGATGGCAAGAGTGTCCATCCGAACAGGAATAAAGCTACAGTCCATTAAATCTTAGTGTTTGTGTTTCATGAGTACTTTTATTTTCGAATATATTGTGGTCCGTCGAGCCGGAGGAAGATTAGTGCCTGAGGATAAAGTGCTGGTTAAAAAGCTTAAAGGTGTAAATTGATAAAAAAAGTGTGATATGTTACTTCGCATTCGACAAGATAATTAAACATTAGTGTGTGATTGGACTTAGAAATTTCGGTTTTTCATTTGGATTACCTCAAACGGAGGTAAGTGAATTTGCTCATATAGTTTGTTCGGTATTATTAATTAATTACGTTAATTATGGAAGCAGTTTTTAATTAAGAAAAGAATTTTAAAGTATAACAATAGCAACTTCAGATTTCGAAAAATATACTTGTGATGAATTTCAGTTACAACTTTTTGAAAATAAATGTGCAAAATTTAATAATGAGTGTTCTGTGATTTTTGATAAATTATTTGTAGTAGTAGATGAAAAAGAGTTTGACAAATATGTAACTGAACAGCAAACTGTTCAAGAGAGCATTGATACTTTGTGGGTTAAGGTTAAACGACAAAATTTAGTGCTAAAGATGCAAGTAATGTAAAGATTGAAAATACCAGTGCACAAGGTATGAAATTACCTAAATTAAACTAGCCGTCGTTTAGTGGAAATATTCAAGATTGGTTAAGCTTTCGGGATCTTTTCATTTCAAGCATTCATAATAATAATGTATTATCGGATTCCCAAAAGCTTTCGTATTTGAAGTTATCGCTTCATGGCGAAGCAGCTATAATTATTCAATCAGTCACAATTTGTGACAATAACTATAAAATTGCTTGGGATTTTTTAGAAGAGAGATACTATAATAAACGTGATCAGGTTTTCGCTCAGATAAAGCGTTTCATGTCAATTTCCCCATACAAAATGAAAGCCCGTCTTTTATTTTGAAATTAGTAGACACAGTGAATGAAAGTGTAAGGTCTCTGGAAATATTAGACCAAAAATAGAGGGATTCGCAGAAACATTTCTTTCTTGCATATATTTTGCTGCAAAAATTGGATGTTTCCACTCGTCTTTGGTGGGAAAGAGATTCAAAAACAAGTGAGTTACCTAAATTATCTTATCTGAGCTTATTACATTTCTAAAAAATCATGCTAGAACTTTGCAGTCGTCAAAGTCATCTAATGTGTTTTAATGTTAATGCAAAAAAGGGGGGTCAACCTATTCAAAAGGTGACTGCCTTGGTGTCAAATGTTAAAGGTCAAGATTTTAAATGTATTTGTTGTAAAAGTAACAATTTTCACAAGTTGTATAAATGTAATTCTTTCTTGAAAATGACTGTAAGTGAACGTCTTGAATTTGTTAAGAAACATAAATTATGCTTTAATTGCTTGGGTTTTAATCCGACTCATTCTGCAAAGAACTGTCGTTCAGAATTCAGCTGTTCAAAATGCATGAAAAAACATCATAGTTTACTGCATTTTCCCAATCACCTGCTACCATAGCGAGTTGTGTGGGGAGGGAGGAAGCACCGGACTAATAATTCTGACCCCTCCTTTAGTAGACAACTCGAAGCTAAACCCTGACACCAGATGTTTTGAAATATTACATCTAATTGCAATCCAAATAAACAATTCGGAATTTATTGGTTTCGTCTGTAACTGCTTCACAAGTGATTTCGAAGGAGGTATTACTATCTACTGCTATTATTTATGTTAAAGATTCTTTCGGGAATTTTATTGCTTGTCGAGCTTTACTTGACTGCGGAAGTCAGTGTTCGTGTTTCAACCTATGATTTCGCTAATAGGCTTGGAATAAAAGGGAAGTAAAATTAACATATCAATTTCATGTTTAAATGGAAAAGCTCTATCGGTAAAATCCAAGCTTACTGCTGTGATATCAAACAAGCGTGATTACCACAGAGCTCTTGAATTCTTTGTTGTACCTAAAATTAATGATTTAGTACCAGTGAATTATTTTAATTTTTCATTTTCACAGCTTTCGCAAAAGATCAAACTAGCGGATCCTCATTTTAACAAACCCCAGAAAATAGACGCTATGTTAGGTGCAGAATGCTTTTCTGATCAAATTCATCCACGGAATTCTAATTTAACTCTTCAAAATTCTGTATTTGGATACATTGCTACCGGTGTACAAGTTGGTTCAAATTCTGGCAATACGATTCAGTGCGGATTTATGAGAGTCGAAGAAGACTTAAATTCACTAATCAAGACTTTTTGGGAAATTGAGGGTGTTACAGAATCTCTCAAAATAAAAAATAAAGAAGAAGTAGAATGTGAGGAGCATTTTGTGAAAACCCATCAGAGGGATATTGAGGGTAGATATGTAGTGACTCTACCATTAAGGCAAGATGTTCATTTGGGTGATTCTTCGCAATTGGCCACCCAACGGTTAAATAATTTGTGGAAGAGACTAGACAAAACCCCTGACATGTCTAGGATGTATTGTGAGTTCATGAGTGAATATGAAGCGTTAGGGCATATGCAAAAAATGCAGAGTGTGTCGGAAACTCCTAAATACATAATGCCTCATCATGGTGTTTATAAGGCAGAGAGCAGTACAACTAAGTTAGGAGTGGTATTCGACGTATCGGCTCCTTCATCGTCTGGTTTTTCATTAAACGACTGTTTGATGAATGGAGGTATAGTTTAAGATGACCTGTTTTCTATCTTGCCACGATTTAGAAAACACAAGGTGGCTTTCACTACTGATATATGTAAAATGTATCGGCAGATTCGTATAGATCCTGAGCAACGTAAACTTCAATGCATACTTTGGAAAAATACGTTGAATGATGCACTAAACTTTATCAATTACTTACGGTAACATATGAAACAAAATCAGCGCCTTTTTTAGCAACAAGAGTGTTGAAGCAGTTAGCCTTAGATGAAAAGGATAAGCATCCATCGGCTTCTAAAACGACACTCAACGATTTTTATGTTGATGACATTTTGTCTGGTGCAGAAGATGTCACCTCTGCTGTAGAATTGCAGCGGCAGTTAATAGCCATGCTACAATCTGCGAAAATGGAATTGCACAAGTAGTGACGAAAAAATTCTTTTAGAACAAGTTTCATTCGAAAAACAAGAGTATCGTTTTGGAGAATCTTCACAAAGCAACGTAAAGACTCGGGGTTTAAGATGGAATCCAGAAGAAGACTCTAATACTTTTACTGTGTCTAGTTCGTCAAAAATCTGTACAAAACGCACGGTTTTGGCAGATATTGCTAAACTGTTTGATCCTTTAGGTTTCCTGTAATCATGCGTGCTAAGATATTCCTGCAAAGGCTGTGGCTTTTACATCTAGAGTGGGATGATCCACTTCCTTTCAAAGAGCGACAAGAATGGGACACATTTCAAAAGGCCCTACCAGAATTGAAACAAATCAAAGTCCCTCGTTACGCTCGTTTCTTTAATTAATATAGAATCAATTAAAGAAACTGAGCTCCACTGTTTTGTTGATGCTTCAAAGTTTGGATGTGGTGGAGTAATTTACTTGCGCTGTGTCTCTAAAACTGGCGCAATTAAAGTGACTTTACTTTGCAGCAAATCTCGAGTATCGCCTATCAAAGTAATAACTATTCCTCGTTTGGAGTTGTGTGCAGCAGAGCTCCTTTCCAAACTTGTGTGTAAGGTAATAACATCTTTGAGTTTATATTTTGACAAAGTTATTCTGTACACAGATTCAACAATTGTGTTAGCCTGGATTGCTACATCTCCTCATCTTCTAAAAGTGTTTGTGTCAAATAGAGTAGCTCGTATCCAAGAGCTAACTAAGGATTTCTGCTGGCAACATGTCAGAACCGCAGACAATCCCGCTGACCTAATTTCTCGCGTCTGAGCCCGGAAATTATTGTTGACAACTCTTTGTGGTTTCAAGGACCAAATTTTCTGCATCAACTGGTCATTAATTATAATAGTGTTAAAAATAACTTTGAAAATTCAAATGAGAACTATGTGCTCGAACTGAAACTTATTTCTAATGTAAATTTGACAGTAACTGTTAAAAATTCTCTTTTGGATTATGTTTTAGTATTACTAATTGTTATGCTAAGTTAATTAATGTTTTTGCTTATGTTTCAAGATTTATAAGAAATTGTAGATCCAAGGAAAAACAAGTAGGTCATCTGACAGTAGATGAGGTTTCGTTAAGCGAAAATAAATTACTTTCCTTAGTCCAATATCAAAGTTTTCCTGAAGAATTCAAGAACTTAAGTAAGAAAAGGGAAGTATGTAAAAATAGTCTGTTAAAATTTTTATGTCCCTTTTTAGATGAATCTCAAGTTATTAGAGTAGGTGGTAGACTGCAGGAAGCTAACTTGCCTTTAACACCAAGCACCCTGCTGTCCTGCCAAAAAATCATAAACTGACTCATTTAATTATGTTATACTACCATATTCGAAACTTTCATACTGGAGCACAAGCGCTCTTGCATAGTGTTAGACAAAAATTTTGGCCCATAAGTGGACGTAATCTTGCTAGAAAGAGAGTAAGAGAATGTGTTACGTGTGCTAAGGTAAAACCAGTATTGCTGGATTGGGATTGGGAAATTTACCATTAGAGAGACTAAATCTATCCTTTCCCTTTAACCATACTGGTGTTGACTTTTGTGGCCCTTTTGGTATAAAGTACACAACTCAGAAAAAGAGCGTAGTGCACAAGATTTATGTTGCAATTTTTGTTTGCCTCTTGACTCGTGCAGTCCACTTCGAGATCGTTTCAAACTTGTCTACAGAATCATTTATTTCTGCTTTGAAGCGATTTATTTCTAGAAGGGGTAAATGCGCAACCTTATTTAGCGATAACGCTCGAAATTTTGTTGGGGCTAGCAATGAATTGAAGCGACTCTACAATTTGTTGAAATACCCTGATGAATTCTTAACCAAATATCTGACATCTGAAAGAATTCATTGGAAGTTTATCCCTCCCAGGGCTCCTCACTTTGGAGGTATCTGGGAGGCAGGTGTTAAGTCGTTTAAGTTTTATCTTAAGCGTGCAGTTGGGAGATTGATTTTTACATTCGAGGAGTTTCTTACAATTTTGAACCAGATTGAAGGAATTTTAAATTCACGTCCAATATCCCCTTTGTCAAATGACACCAATGATTTAGAAGCTCTCACACCCGCACACTTTCTAGTCGGGCGACCTTTAATATCAAAAACAGAGCCTGATTTAACTGATTTTTCTGATAGTTCTTTAAAGCGCTGGCAGCGCACTACTAAAGTAACGCAATATTTGTGGCAAATGATTGATGGCAAAATGATTACATCAGTCATTTACAGCAACGATTTAAGTGGTATTTCTCTAAGGATAACGTTAAAAAGGGCACTATAGTTTTAGTAAAGGAAGACAACATGCCCATTTCGACTTGGTTACTGAGTAAAATAGAAGAGGTAATTTATGGTAAGGATAAAAAGGTTAGAGTTTGTATTGTAAGAACCAAGTCAGGTTTTTTAAAAAGACCAATAACTAAATTAGCTGTAATACCAGTAGATGTTACATAATTTCATGTATATTTCCTGAGTTCAAAAATTGTTATATATATGCATTGTATTTTAATTTAGATGTGGTGCATTTCATGTTCTGTGATTAATTATGTTTATTGCTTTTGTTCATGTGTATCAATTTAAATTTTGTAATATATGATTTGGACTATATGGTGATTTAAAACTGTTTAATTTTGGTCATTGTTAACTATGTAACAAATGCCCAACCGGGCGGTATGTTAATGCAGAAATGATCTGGCAACCACGATGAGAGAAAACAGCAACGTGGTTAGCTAGCGGCCATTATGGTGTTTGATTGCGTGCGGGGAGGTGTACGTATGCGATGGCAAGAGTGTCCATCTAAACAGGAATAAAGCTACAGTCCATTAAATCTTAGTGTTTGTGTTTCATGAGTACTTTTATTTTCGAATAATATTATAGAGTATTTTAAGGCAGATACTGCCTTTTATTATTTGTATTATATCATTATTATGAATATATTGTATATATTATATTATTCTGTGTTTTTCGGAGGAATGGGGGCACCAAAGAGGTATCGTGCCTCGGGCGTCAGTCATGCTTGCTCTTCGCCGCCGCCCCCCCCAAAAAAAACCTACTCAAACACATTTTTATGAGAAAGAGACAACAGAATGTCAAATTATTAGCAATATTCAACTTTGATTTATTCGTGGTTTTTTTGCCCGCATTTTTATAAATCTTTCATAGACCGAAAACAATTTTACCATTTCCAGTAGTAAAAACAATGAATACACTCAAAAACGTTATGATAAGCACCTGGAAAAGGTATAAGTTATCTCTAACCCGGTTTCTATGCAATAAACACGGATGGAGGTACCATGTACCATTAAATTAGTCGACTTTCCAATGTGAATCTTTTACTAAATTCAGTTCTCATTGTTATTAGATATCTTGCTTTTCATCAAAAGATTTTTGTTTATGAAGATTTGTTTCTGTCTGAAGTGCATTTAAATACACTTGATGTAAAATATTTTTGGGATATGCATTTTAATTGTATGCAAGAAAGAATAAGCCTAACCAGCTAGCTATACGGAAAAGAGCTAATAATTTTAAACCTAAACAGAAACTGGGTGTAACTGCTAAGCTAGAGAAAGAAGAATCAGTTCATAAATTTGCTATGGAGTTGGCACTGACTGTTGTCTGAAAACTGTTCGCAACTCCAAGAACTGGGGGAAAAAAAATTAAGAAATCTGCATGCGTCTGGAACACTGGAACCGTGACAAATACTAGGGAGTGGTGTGAAAAACTTGACGCTTGCTTGATCCAATGGATCTCTCAAAAACAAGCAGAAAGCACTTCTACCTTAGGCCTAACTGTGCATGAAAAAAAGCACTGTTTTTTTTTACAATTCTTTACACGTGGAGGACTCACTGAATGCACTTTCAGGCTGGTTCACACGCTTTAAGAAACACTAAGGCATTTGAGAAATGTGTTTGAAAGACGAAAAAAGCAAATTATTCAACAGCAGAATTTTTGTATTGAAGAATCTCATGATAACATGAAAAAAGAACTGAATGCCTTGGTCAAATTTTCATTGACGAAGAGATGAGTATCTTCTGGAAATACCTCTCAAATGAAACATTAACAATGCAACCGGAAATAGAAAATCCACGCTTTAAACTATCTAAGGCCCAGATTAACAATGAAGTTGCGATTTTTAGTTTAAAGAGTTTTGAAAATAAAATCTTTGTTTTTAATAATTTTCAGTCGTCTGTTCAGATGCAGACTGAAATTTTTACAAACCGATTCCATAAGAAATTCGTCTTACAAGTAAGCGAGAACTGAATAAAATGTATCTGCCAAAATGAGGAAGGAAAAAAAAAGTTTTAATTGACAGTGCACTATGACATCTATTGAATTACGTCCTGACGATGAGAGAGATTGTTATGAAGTTTTCTATCCAGTGTGGCTTCATTAATCTAGCCCATAGATCGAAGTATCTTACCAGCAATGAGACGCATTTGTAGTAAAAATCTTCTGTGGGTTCTACTCCAGAAAAAATAATTTTTTGGAAAAAATGAACGATTTTAAATGCTGTAACCATACTGCTAAATTGTGGAATAAAGTTAAAATTTCAGTTCAAATTCAGAACTCGAAAAAACTGGTCCCTGCTATCACAATCGTGCCA